ACAGCACTGACTCGTTTTTATATATAGGGTTTAGTAGCGAGTGTGTGTTTCCCTTTGTTATATGTTGTGGGTGGCTGATGCTTGTGTGTCAACTGCCAATTGTCCATGTGTATTTCATCCTGTGGAAATTGGAATGGACGCGCCGGTGGGACTCCATCCCATTCCGACTTTTATTTCTCTCTCTCTGTCTCTTTCTCTTCCTCTTTCTTTCTCTCTTTCTCTTCTCTCTCTCTCTCTTCCTCTTTTTTTCTCTCTTTCTTTTCTCTCTCTCTCTCTCTCTCTCACTCTCTCTCTCTCTCTCTCTCTCTCTCTCTCTCTCTCTCTCTCTCTCTCTCTCTCTCTCTCTCTCTCTCTCTCTTTCTCTCTCTCTTTGTGTGTGCGTGTGTGTGTGTGTTATGGGCCAGACACAAAAGGGAGCGATGTTATGCAATAAAGAGTTATTTTTTTCAAATTGTATTTAAAAGGCGAACACAGCGATACCAGTGCGATGTACTGGAATCAGAATATCACCGCCATATTTGACATTTACCTTGAATACTCGTAGCATAGCATAGAAGAGAAACAAACTTCGATATTCTTGGAAAGTGAGGCTACCTACCGACCGGGATTCCCGATTCCCTTGCTTGATATTTATGATTCATCATATCACTTGTTCAAAGGCTTCCGGCGTAATGGAACATCCGGCAGACACAGAGGCCAAATGGTGCACTCCCGGAGAAGCGAATATGATTAAAAGCGATTCACGGCTAAGATCTCGCTTGTGGAGAGTTGCACGTGTTGGGGAAGGCTGAGGTTGAATGCTGAATTCAGTGACCACAAGCACGTTTGCAGACATGCACGTTCGCAGCCACACACGTTCGTAATCTCACACGTTCGCAGACACACGCGGTTGCAGATATGCTCGTTCGCAGATGCACATATCTATGGACACCCACAGATTGACACACATTCTCGTAGACGCACATGCTCGCACATCAACCATAAAGAAATTGAAGGCATTCCCAAATCTGTCAGGTAAACGTTTTGATATTATCAGTATCACGTATTAGTTACCTCCTCTTGATCATTTTTTTCTGCGGATGTTGCTCTGTAAGCTCCAGCATTATTTATTTCCGTCAGCTCAAGCAAAGCCCTTCACTTCATGATTAATATATGATAATCTTCTCCTTCCCTCTCGCTAAACATAAAATTATTCACACTTCTTATAATTCAACCCTTTTGAACTAACTCGGAAAACGCCATTTGAAGATAGAATTCCCTCCCACTACATGTAATGCCTCTATGAATACACAATTTGACATGAATTTCTCTCCGTTCCAATCCCGCGTTGCATGATTTCAGTCCATTATGACTGATCCTCCCCCGCGTACAAACCAACAAACATGACATACAGTAACATAATAGGTAACAGTGAACGAAATTGAAAAATAGTGATTCAGTAGTTCCGCGATTGTCTCCTAATGTGAAGCCCGAGCGTTCGAGTCTCCAAGCTGGACGATGGTTGTTAAGAAGCGCAAAGACCGCATTGTCAAAGCTAATGTTCCACTAGCTAACCGCATGTAGGAAATATTGGAAGTCGAAGGCTGAGAATGACAAACGTGCAGCCATAATTCAAAAAGAGCAACAGTAAAATATTTTAGTATAATCGTTATTATCGCTGCAATGATAATGATAATAAAAATGATTGCGATCATTGTTGCTTTATCCATCATCAGTCATCATCATCACAAACATCATTATCGACGTCGCCGTTGTCCTCCTTCTCCTTCTCCTCATCATCATCAATATCATCATCTTCATCATCATTATCATCATCATTATCATCATCATCATCATCATCATCATCATCATCATCATCATCATCATCATCATCATCATCATCATCATCATCGTCGTCGTCATCGTCGTCGCCATCGTCATCACCATCATCCTCACGATCATCATCGTTATCATAAAATAGTAAAAAAAAATATCATTGGTATTACTGAAACTGATGATGAATAAATAAAAAAGATCAACAATAATGTACCAATAATTCAAAACATGATGTTGCATAGAAGAGTCTCCTAAACCATAAAATTATAGGACCCACAATTACCATCAAAACATAGCTCATCTCATTTTCTATCCATCCATAGCAAGCTACCCGAAATCCTCACTATGATAACCCATCCATTGGTTCGCTTGACGGCAGGTGCATATCCATTGCAGTGAGTATTTAACATCGAGCTCAATCCCTGGCCAACGCAGCCTCCGATTTCCTGCCTCGGGAACAGAAACAAATCCATAGTTAAGTGTGTTAAACTTGGCCATTGCTTTATAGAACTTTGGGGAAATGGCCTATCACTGTCTATTCACCCATGGCCAAAAACTATTGAAAGTCCATAACAATAAAAAAATACGTACATACATTCACCGATATTGTTTTCGGTTTGGTCACATGACAGATTAGGTCGTTGAAGGTAATGTTCGTGTTGAATTGTCATGTATTTGACCCGAATACCAGGCTGAGGCTAACGAGATGGGTGGGGGATTAGGGGTAGGGGGTACGAACCTGGGGGGGGGGGCTACGGAAGCTGGAAAACGAAGCTATAAAAGTTATGAAGCGAGAATGCATTATCTATCGATTGTTTTTATATCCAATTATAATTCTTGTTCTGCTTGTGAGCCATTGTCGCATGACTCCTTTTGTTTTAATTGAAGATCGGTTCGTAAGAAGAGGATCATTATATGCAGACATCCGGCAGCCCAATCAGCTTCTGTTACTATATACACCAGTCTCTCTCTCTCTGTCTCTCTTTCTCTCTCTCCCTCTCCCTCTCTCTCCCTCTCTCTCTGTCTCTCTTTCTCTCTCTCCCTCTCCCTCTCTCTCTCTCTCTCATATAAATATGTTATATAAACAAATTATATACATATGCGTGCGTGCGTGCAAGTATATGTGTGCGTATACATATGTATGTATGTATATATATAATTATATGTGTGTGTGTGTGTG